AAAGTGATTTTCCTAGGTAATATTACATAATCTGGTAAATTTTATATATGTATGAATTGCCCATTAAACCTTTTCACAGCTACACTAATATTATGCTCTGCAACCTGCCTATGCTACATAAAATAAAATATTTAAATTTAAATTTCAAGAACTATGTTAATGTATAATTTAACTTAAAAAAAAAGCCAAAGTTTCTAAAATTGTATGGTTACTGGCACATGATAATATTCAAAAATAAAAGAACGTAATGGCACACTTGAAGAAGTAAAAATATGAATCCAAACATGTATTAGTAAAATGTAAGTAGTATATGTACATATCAGTGATTCTTAGGTATTTTTATTGAAAATATTAATCTATTATACTTGGATGATGAAGATCTACATGTAATATATTTTATATTTATAGTATATTATCTGTATTAAATTTTACAGAGATTTATAAATTTAATACTATTAAAGGATATTGTGCATGCAATTTTAAGAAAAACTGTGTTATTAAAAACATAAATTAAAAATTGATAGCTCAATAAATTACATTTGGCTTAAGTAGTGGTGTATACATATTGGGATTTTAACTTTCTTCTGATTTTATAATGTAACTGTCACTCATACCTCTTTCAGCTTTATCTATTGTCCGTGCTTTTTCCAAATCTTCAGTAACTTTCTTTTTTTCCCTGGAAAATCAAGTTGAAAAATGTTAGTTATGAAATTACAACAATTTTAAATATTTAAATGTAGTTCTCATTTTATTGCTGTTAAATATTGAAATTCCTTATTTTTTCTTTTTCTTTCATTTAAGAACATTTTACTATAGTATTCATTTTTTATTGTTTACTTGTTCAGACTGTTCTTAGTGATTTTTGTTTTTTCATTATTAAAATCTATTGCTCATCAGAAAACAGATCAGGATTAAAGTACATGTAGTCTATGTGTCTATGTCTACTCTGTCTATGTGTTACTTTTCAGACTGTTGATGAACCGTGTAAAATTGTTTCATTATGGTTTTGGCCATTAGTTTTATAATTTAATATTTAATTAAAAAATATAATGAAATAGCA